AAAGAAAAAAAAAAAAAAATCATGTCTGGGCACATCATTTTGTTTTTATTTTTAAGAACTGAGTCTTGGCCAGACACGGTGGCACATACCTGTGAGCCCCAACATTTGGAAGGCTGAGGCAGGAGGATCGCTGTGAGTTTGAGGCCAGCCTGGATTGCACAGTGAGTTCAAGGCCAACCTGAACTACAGAGGAAGACCCTGACTCAAAAAACAAAAACAAAACTAAAAATAACTGAGAATCTTTAAAATACTGGCTGAAATTTTTTTATATTGCTACATAGTTTGTACTGATTGATATGTATCATATCAATTGATATATTTTATAAACAGTGATAATTTATAAATGATTTAATGAAATATTTAAGCACATTTACTTTTGTACATTTTAAGAACTACAAGCTCAGCACAGTGGTGTGCACTTCTAGTCTTAACACCTTAGGAAGATGAAGGAGGAGGATCACCTGAGTCCAGGGAACAGCCTGGGCAACACAGCAAGACTCCCCTAAATAAACATGCAAATAAAAACGAAGTACAATCAACCCTCCATATCTGGGAACTCAACTATCCAACCATAGATCAAAACATATTTGAGGAGCGGACCGCGCATCTGTACTGAACATCCACATTTTTTTTCATCATATTCTCAGGCAATACACCCGTAACAACTACCTACATAGCACTTACATCCTCAGTCATCCAGAGATGAGTAAACTATCCAGCAGGACATGCACAGGTTATGTGCACGTATGAGGTCATTTTATATAAGGCACAGGGGCATCCTCAAGAGTCTGCCATCTCCTGGGCTCATGGAACCAATCCCCCAGGGGGATGACTGTAATTCATGAGTGTTAATAATGATACATAAACACTGGATAGAGTTTTGAAAATGTTCCACTCAACTAGCTATCACAACTCTCCCATAATTCCCTCTTTATAGAGTCGTTGCCATTCTATGAAAATTACCCCCTCTTAAGAGAACTTGTGAGTTCTGATAACACGCAAAAAAATTATGCGGCAAAATACACAAAGAGCTAGAGCCAAGGTACCTCCCAGGCAGACTGGCCCACTGTATTGTGAGAGACTCCATCTATACTGCCTGAAACTTTTCATTGGCTAAAAGAGATTTAGCAAGCATCTTCTTTTAAAAATAACTTCATGGGCCGGGTATGGTGGCACACACCTGTAATCCCAGCACTCAGGAGGCTGAGGCAGGAGGATTGTTTCGAGTCTGAGGCCAGCCTGGGCTACAAAGTGAGCTCAAGGCCAGCATGAATGGCATAATGAAACTCTGTCTCAAAAAGAAATAATAATAATAATAATAATAATAATAATAATAACAATAATAACAACAACAATTTCATAGTAACAGAAGAGGTATAAGTCACTTCCACATGAATCTGAATTCTTTCTTTCCAACTCCTACACCAAAGGAAGTTTTGGTCAGCAAAACAGATCTAACTCATCAACTCTAAGATGCATTTATGTTTCATTTTTTACTATCTCTGACTCTGAGGTGCACCTTAGTACTGATGGCTCCTTACAACTAGATTTTCTTCATAAATGTTCATAAAATTATGGTGCCCCTTACAGCTGATCACAGAAAACATTTGGAAAGCATTTAACACCATGACTGACATGCAACAGGTACCCAATAAAAGAAGCAAATACCATGGGATGAACATCATTTAACAGAAACTTCAAAGTAGAAAAGAAACAGCCTTCACAATTAATTTAGGTATAAGACAAACTAGATAAAGGAGAAAGTGAAGACAAGAAAATCATATTATCCATGTAGAATAGGAATTACAGTTGGCAAAAGTGGAGGTCCTGAAAAGGCAAAATAACCAAATATAGTAGAAATTAAAGAAAACTGTGAAAATTAAATAATGTCAGATTTGAAAACTCAACGAATTTGTGGAAGAAATATGTACCACTAGAATTCACACCAAAAACAGAAAACCTATACAAACCAACAGCTATTACATAAACTGAAAGGCTACTAACAGTCCTCTCCAGAAAGAAAGATCTAGGCCTCAAGAGTCTTCCAGATGAGGTCTGTCAAATTTTCAAGGAACAGATAATCCCTGTCCAAACTGCCCCTGAAGAGAACGAGGGGAAGCTGCCCAACTCATTGTGTGACTCTCTTCTAACCCTGATACCAACATGAAAAAGGAATTGCACCAGAGTTTGCAAGAAGAGAGCAAAGAGTCATAATATCATGAAAGCAGAATCAAAAGGTTTTGGCTCCAGCCACAATGGGACGGAATGAGGAAAGGTCTGGGTCTGGGACGCTTTCACAAGTAAAAAACACCAGAGAAGCCCATCTAGTTAGGAAAAGCTCAGTTTGAACTAGAAGCACCACTTACAGTTATGCATTAAGCGAGTGAAAAAAATAAGACTCCAGTGCAGGAGAAAAATATGGAAGAGATTTGGGAACTATTCAGACAAAAAGATCTGAACAATCATGTCAAAGGATTAGACAGACAAAATGGTCTCAACACTGAACTTGGAGAACACATTAAGAGGAAGGAGGAAGAACACAGAAAAGCAGCAAAGAACACAGCGAGTATAATGGCAAAGAAGCCCGTTTTTCTCCTACTTAATTCTTACTTTTCCTTCACCACTGTGCAAGGTTGCCAAGTAATGAACACTTTTATGGAGTGCTTCCTAGACTCTCCTAACTTGATCAGCACCAGCCCTGGTTGCCACTTGAAGCTCTTCTAATACCCTGCATGCTAGTTACAATCACAACAATATTTCATTGAACTCTACAACTCATCCTTCAGTTCATGTCCCCCCCACTAGACGTTAGGTTCCAGGAGGGGAAGGACTATGTCTGGGGTTGTTCCCTTTTGCCTTCCTCCAATAAAAGATATGGAAGAATGAAAGCCAAGGAGAAGCATTTTGAATGTGAAGCTGGACTAGGGACCCAGTTGAGTGGAATGTCGTTTGCCTAGCACGTACAAAGCCCTGGCTTCCACCCCCAGCAGAAAGGAAGAATGTGGAGTCCATATTAAATGTTACAGGAAGTTCAGAGAGAACTGAGAAAGGGAGCTTAAATGTGATCAGGCTGATTCTCCTATGAAGGTGAAATCCAGGGTTAAGTAGTAGATACATGGCAAGAGATTAAATGCATGATAGCCACCAAATCCAGGCGGGAAACGGAGACTACAGTACTGTTGGCAATTTCCACAGACTGGGTTATGAATTTTACTTCAGTTTGGCTCTATTGTGCAGTTTCTCTGTAATGATTACACGTTACTTTTATAAGGAAAAAAACTTTAAAATGTTGATATGATTTTAAAAGGAAAGCAGTTAACCAGTGAGATGACACGCGCCTGTAATCCTAGCACTAGGGAGACTGAGGCAGGAGCATGTGGAGTTCCGGGCCATTCCGGGCTACGTGGTGAGATACTGCCTCAAAAAACAAAAGAAAACGAAAGCAGCAAAAACTCGTGGCACTCTTAAAGGTTTTCGTAAACTGAAGGAATCTTAAGTACTGTATATGTGTGCTTTTAAGAAACCAAAGACAACACAAGGGATAATTCACGAGCCATTAGTAAGGAAAACCAGAGAAAGGTGAAATAAGGTGTTAACCAGTAAGAAAGACCAAAAATACAGTATATTCCTCCTCTGGAAGGAAAGAAACAGATTAGAAGAGCGACCCGGTGGGGGCGCTCGGACAGGATGGCTCAATCTTCCCAATAAAAGGGAGGGGGCAGGTGAAGAAAATGGCTAAGGTTTAGAATGGTCTCCATGGACGACGAGAAGGGAAAGATAAAAAGAGAACTAGTTGTATTGCAAATGCATTCTGAATTTCAATCCACCTTTCACAAACTCAGTTTGTTGCTGGATCAGAGAAGTGCTCCCATGATTTCGCTTTAAACCTAAAAAGCTAAAACTCCACTCTGGTTCACGATCTTTTTATTTCAACAACCGAAACTTGATAAGCATTAACGCAGCCTCTCCTTTACTTCAAAGATGAACTCCCCCCCCCATACGATCGAAGAGCTGTTTTCAACTCGACCAACAAAGATCATTTCCAATACGAATTACTGAAAAATGCTCCTTCATGGAATCGCGTTTAGATAAAGTTTGCAAAAATTAAAAAGCACAACGAAAGCACCTCGCATGCCTGAATACCACGTTCCTGAGTTCAAATCCCAGCTCACTTATCTGAGTTCTTTAACCTCCCTGCATCTCAGTTTCCTTCCCCGAAACAGCGTGGAATCCGATAACCAAGGTTATCTTAAGGAGTTCATGACGTAACCCAGGTGCCAAGTTCGTACCCCGCGTCCGAAGAGCTCGTCAGCCGTTTAAAAGAGAACAGCCCGCAGCGCTTGCACCGAGCTGAGGCGTCGGGAACACGAAGGCGCTCCGTCGCACCCGCCAGCCCCAGAGCACAGCGTATTATTTTTCTTCCCTGACGCAAGCTCTTTTTCCCCCTTTGCCAAACCTTCCCGCTGGGAGTCTGGAAGGAGTCAGAAGGGTACGTGCGATCCAGCAGCACAAAGTTTTCCGAAATCCGAGCGCGATCGCCGCAGACATGGCAGCGCAGGCCTCGCGGGACGACAGGTGAAGCGGCCCGCGGCCCGGTCCCCTCCCGCTGCCGAAGGCCGACCCGGCCCCG